TTACTTATGAGCGATAGTCAATGATGTTTTCAAGTGATTATGCCTCCTTAGAAGTAGGATATGCTTTTCTAGTGTATATGACTCTGATAATCACATAGTCCCTAAAACTCATGTGTGCTGGAGTATAACATTTTCAGTAAACCAACTTATTATTTATTTCTGCCCCATAAAAGAAAATTTAACTTCATCAATTCTTTTTTTTAATTTACTTTATTCGAGTGTAGCTGATTTACAGTGTTGTGTTAATTTCTGCTGTACAGCAAAATGATTCAGTTATATATATATATATATATATATATATATATATATACACATTCTTTCTCATATTCTTTTCCATTATGGTTTATCATAGGATACTGAATATAGTTCCCTGTGCTATACAGTAATTTCAACAATTCTGAGTATTCATGGTCCAGCCCATTGATATCTTCATTGCTCAGTTTTTTAAAACACTGTCCCACTTAGAGTTGAAACCTCTTCTCAGATGCTTCCCTCACGCTCTCCCTACGGATTGCTTCACATTGCATCACATTGTTTGTCATATTGTGAACATTGTTGATTAAGAGGTTGCTCTGTGCTCTTGGCCTTGTCGTTTCATTCCTATCTTGGCCTTTGTTTGCAAACGTATCCCCTCCCCCCACTGTTTCTCTGTGCATTCTCCATACAGTGCTCCCCAGACAATGACTAGTTACTTCGAGTTCAGCTTCCTAATATTTGTGACCATCCCTCCAAGGTGCTCAGCTGGGGTGGCTCGTGCCATTTCTTCTGCCATGGAGTACCCACATTTTCTGCCATGAGATACCCACATCTTCTGCCATGGGGTACCCACATCTTCTGCCATGGGATACCCACTACTATGGAATGTAGTAGCAGGCCTGCCAGAAATCTCTCTGAACTAACTTCTGTATCATTGTTGCAGGGGCCCATGGGAACTTTAAGATCTTTTCATCAGACACGTTGGAGTTGAAGGAAACTAGGGAGGGGGAAGTTTCTAGGCTTTCTATGCTTAGACACACCCTATTGCCATCTCTACTTCCTTATTCCCAGAGCCTTTTGCAAGAGATGAATCTGTGAAACAACAGCCTCCCAAAAATCTCAGCTAGAGAATGAATTATGATACCTTGATATATAGTCAGATTCTTTCAATTTTAAAGGGAAATCCTATTATGATCTTCTGTGACCAAGACTTCTCTCCTGATACTAATTATTCTATATTTCTTTCTTATGTTCGTACTTCCTTTGTTCTATTCCTGGGTCTGGGTTTTTTTTCCCTTTTCTTTTGGTGGTCAGGTGGTGATGGTGTTGGAACTGAAGGGAGGAACTGGGTCTGTGAGCTTGCATTTCCTTTCAGGCTTTTCTCCTAACTCCATCCCAGACTCAGATTCTGAAGCCAACAATGTGATGTCTTTGTTCTTTGGTCCTATTTCTGACAACCACCTCATGAGTCAAATGGCCACCCTATGTTTTCACACTGGGGAGGTCTTTGGGGGGCAAGGAGGAGCGGTTATATTAGAGTGCTTATATTAAAGATACATATCAAAAAAACACATCAGTTAATAAAACATGTCCATTACATGATTGGAGTAGTCTTCATCTGAAGTATAACAAACTACTGTGTAATCATTTGCTGTGTCTTGGGAAAAGCTTTTCAAATGTGTAGTTTAAAAAAACACAGTAGGAGAGCTATTTTGTTAACACTGGTATCAGTTCTGTTAAATCAGGGTGTTTCTAAACAGTGCAAAAAGGAATAAAGCAGAAACTAACACACCATTGAAAAGCAAGTATACTCCAATAAAAGTGTTAAAAAAATGTATTGACTTTTCTTCGAATTAATTTAATGAAAGGAGTTTGACTCAGGGAGTTGCAGGAGTATAGGCTAGTGTCACAGCCTACAGACAATATAGTCCACATAGGGGGAGCCATATACATTGCGGTTAAGACCATTGACTCTGATATCAGACCACCTATTTTCAGTCCTGGCTCTACCACTTAATAGTTAACATAACCTCTCTTACTCTCAAAGGAGTTTGACTCAGGGAGTTGCAGGAGTATAGGCTAGTGTCACAGCCTACAGACAATATAGTCCACATAGGGGGAGCCATATACATTGCGGTTAAGACCATTGACTCTGATATCAGACCACCTATTTTCAGTCCTGGCTCTACCACTTAATAGTTAACATAACCTCTCTTACTCTCAGTTTTTTCATTTGTAAAATGGATATATATATATATATATATGTATATATA